GCTGAGATGTTTGGCCAGCACACACCGGATATGTTCGTCAGAGCTATGAGTGCTGTGGGCTTGCACAAGAAGCTGCAGTTTCAGCCATTGCAGCAAAGATGGACGCTGAACTTCTAGGTGGCCATGATTCCATGGCGGAAATGCCAAGGTCACTCTGGAAGAAGTCGGCAGCAAAAGACATTGCATTCTCTTTGTCGAAGAGGTAGCCACAAGACTGTCGAAGGAGTTCCATTTCAAGCTCTTCCAGTTTTGCTGTTAGCCTATCATTGAAAGTTGCAAGTACCAAAGATGCTGCCTCCATCCAGCACTCTTCATCATCCTTGACATTTTGGCAAATTAAGTCCCACAGGTGCTTCATTTTTACATCTTCCACATCTGTCACCAAGGAGCTTGCAATTCGGCGAACGAGCTCCTGGTTGACCAGAAAATTGTGGGGCCCAGGGCCACGCAAGGAGTCTACGAGCTCATCATTAGCCTTCGAAAGCAAGGCTAGTGCTTCAGGTTCGTTGAGAAGAGGCAGCAAAACCTTAAGCTGCAGCGCATCTTTCATCTCCAGGAGCAGCGGAAGAAGTTCTTCAATTACCTCGCTGCACTTCGTACCAGGAACCATCTTCACACGAAGGAGCAGAAGTGAAGACAACTTCTTCTTTGCAGAAGCATCTGGCAAGCATGGTCGGACAAACTGCTCACCTGCTTCTGGGTCCAAAACTGTAGAAAGCCGAGCAAATCACATTGAAAGTCTTTCAACATCAACACGAAGGCGGGATAAGAACTCACAGCCTAAGCAAAGGGCACGGCATGTTCCCACAATCAATCAATCTTTGTTTGAGAGAGGGCGGAGGGTAGCAACAAATGGTTGGATGATGTTGGATGTAAAGCATGTTCAATTACATGGCCTCTCAAGAGCACTTCCAGCGCGTCCTTTTTGGACAGGCGTGAGGCCACCGACAAGACCTCCGCGACGATCTTCTCCTTGTATGCGATGATGCTGGACTTCATGCGCTGACTGGGGTGGAGCACCTGGGAAGATGCAGAAACAATGGGAGAACTCTATCCACATTTCTTTTTCACGTCTTACTCACAATGTAAGGACACGAAATCCAGCACATAGCAAAAATGTCATAACTGTTGTTGTTGGTCAGTATTGGTCGCGCCACGTTGGACACAACTGCCAAGATGGTTCAAACGACTAGTTACCCCCGTTGTCTCAGTCCTTTGCAACGCAACTCCACACCAACAGGACAAGTCGTCTAGCCAAGTGCAAAAACTGAACGCGTAAAGCATGAAAGCACAAACTTCTCCACGGCACGGTTGTGTCCATTGTCACTCCCGTAGTAGGACTTCGCTTGCTCTTCTCGAAGCATTTCATGATGCAAGATCTGTCATAATGGTTTCCATCAGCTGCAACCACTGGATCTTCCATCAGGGCATGAGAGATCGGACAACAAAACTCAGGAGGGTCGCGCATGAGATGCTTCACCTCAGCAGTCAATGGAGCACGGCGGCGTCATATTGCAAAGGCAATGTCAGTTAGAGTCGAGGTAGGTGCGATGCCAAGCATCACACGCGGAGTTCGGCAGGCACAAGCGCTACACACACATAAAAAGGAAAGCATTTGAAACACTGCCGAAGAGTTGCTGATGAGTTCAAGTCTTGTTCGCTGCCACCTGCTTGGACACTGCTGCCGCTGTCCTGTTCACAAGGATCCAAAAGGTCCAAGTGATTTGTTTTCGGTTTTGGCAGCGCAAATGACCTGCAGCAATCAATAACATCCTTCCTGGTTTACCAAATCCTTGGCCACTCTACAAACAGGTTCTGTTTGATTTGAGGAGTTCAGGCAATTGGGGTTCATCACACCTAGCCCCAACATAATTAATGGAAGTGGTGGCTTGTATAGTTCCTGTGGGATGCACTCGAGAGACCCAAGCTTGATTGCTTAAATATTTGACGCTTACTGCTTGACTTGCCATCCAGGCTGTGGGCGCAAAGACACTGCAAAAAGGGCAAAACCCCTGGCATCTTTCGTTTGTTAGATCCGATGCCCCTGACTCAGCCCACCCCAGACCTCCTCCATCTTCGATGATCTACTCCGGGAAAGCTGTCAAGCTTTCGCGGTCGAATGAAGCTCGAAATGGCTGCATCACAAATGAAAAGTCCACCAAAAAGCAGGTACCAGCTTCAACTGGAATCACAACGAGAACATGGGTCGAACATGAGTCAAAGAGAACACCCTTTTGCAAATCTATGAGAACACCCACGTTTCATCACAAATCATGTCATTCCATGGCAGTTTTGGTTCACTGCAAGACTCCACATCGCCTTGTCAGAGTCTAAACGGGCACAATCCCGGCAAAGGAGCCTGGCACGCGAGAGGTCCAAAACAGCCCCAGGACAATCATGGAACATTGGGATTTGCTAAGGCATGCGTATGACTGTGCAATCACGCAACCCGACTTGCACATACACACAAAATGTTCCTTGACCACTCAATCCTTTGAGTTCGGCTGTTCCTGATCACGGCACAAACTCTGCAGCAGCCAACTCTCCACAGGTTCTCTACTTCTCCGAAGTGGAGCATGATCAAACTACACTGGCCAGATGAAAGTTGCGCTTGTTGACGTTGAAACTCATGACAACCCTATCCCCCTAGAATCCTACACCATGAGACAAGGGAAGGTGTGGGCGGTCATTTGTCACCCCGGAAAGCCCTTTATTATTATAGAGTTAAAACGGTGTGATAATTGACCGTCCCATACCTGCCACGAAAATCAGACTTGTTAATTCGATCCGCCGCTGACCTCAGAGTGTTTTGTAAGAAGGCTAACAAGCGTAAACTTTTGTCTGCCTGAAGTATTACGCATGTGTGCGCGGGCTTCGTTTATAACGTGTTGGCAACAAAGCGTTCAAAGCTACTGCCGACCATAAACAAACCTGTCCTTTCCTTTCCACGCTTCTGCCGCAAAAGCCCCTGTGATTCCAACTGCCAACTTCTCTGAGATTAAAAGGGGGGGCCCAGGCTGCGGTGCGCAAAGGCACATATCTCCATCGAACGACGGCTCTGTGAGTGACAAAATGGTCCTTTCTCCACCAACGTTCACATATTTGGAGCCACAAAAAACAGCAACAAAAGGCTACAGCGGCTACAAGTAGATTAACCCCCCCAAGCAGCTACGTACTCCCATCGCGTTCTGAAGAGTTGTTTTCATGAGACACTTTGAGACTACTACGACCCGGCAAGATGTGACATCGATTGTTTGAGAGACAGGCGTCAGGTGTATGTGCAATGAACAACCTTTACCATGTCTAAGATGGCAAAAAAAAAAACGATTCTTCCGTCCCACTCGCCACTTGGACCTTCCCAGAACGCCTGTGGTGAAAGCATTGGTGATCAGCGACATCTGCTTCGACATTGGGACGCGAAGGTGCCTTTTCGCACAAGTCCCTACAGTCTTCCAGCCTCGGCACCGCAAAAAACTTCTTTCAAAATCAGGCAGGCGAATCAATCACCTCAAACCTTTTGTTTCATTTCGAGAGCAGACCTTTGAAAAAATGAACCAGCAATTGAATCTGTGTATGGAGTGTGAGTATATTGACACGGGTTTCGTTTTCGCAGGACTTGTGCAAGAAGAACGAAGCCACTCTACTTTTCTTTGCGGGTTTACATACAAAACCAAGTGACTAACATGCCTGGCAGCCTGGGCAAGAGTTGAGTCTGGCATAGCCTGGCTACGTCTTCCGGCTACTGACCCTCAGCGTACATATTCCCCCCTTGGGAAGCCACCAGCATGAGGTTCATCTAAAAAGAAAGATCCAAACTGCAGGGACTTTGAGCTCTGGGACCCCCGTGCTGACACAGGTCGACGTCAACCTTGCAAAGTTGTTTTTCAAACAGTTTTTGGAGGTCTTCTATGCATCGATCGAGCTGCCGGCTGAGTACAAAGGCACTTGGACTCAAAGCAAAGATGAAAAAGTAAAAACCACTCGTTCAAATAGCCCTGCCAGGAGCAATTTTCCTTGATGTCGCGCGGTGCTTTGAGCAAAGCCTTGCACTCATCCGCTTCAAGATGAGATATTGCCTAAAGCTAGTCCTCAGCGCTTGTGTCTGAAACTAATTCCTCAGCTTACTAAACCATAGACGGACTTCCGTTGATCGGTCCTTGAGGCTCCACGAGCCAAAAAAATCCCTGTCGCCCTTTGGAATTGAATTTTGATTATAGTAATTCAAAGATGGCACTTCTCTCATGATGACTCACGCCATGCGACCCACGTAAACACACCACAAAAAACGAAAGTCTCACTTCAGGACGAATTCTCGGCCAGTCTCACTTCGGACTTCAGACGAATTCTCGGCCGATGTTTGCTGCTTTCTTGCGTTCAAAACTGCCGGTGCCCACTTGTCAGTTGGCGTTCGGCGCTGCACGGACCGGGATCCGCTCTTCAAGAGCCCGGAGCCACCAACCGCAGTGAGGACCCGGCGCGGCGGACGCTCGGCAGATGGAAGGCGATGCCCGAGGCGAGGTTGGAAATGGGGATTGCTTTCGGCCAACCATAGCCAGATATGCTGCCATCTTCCTTTTTTGCAAATTCCCACTCTATAGTGTCTTCCCAACTGCCCACTTGAAATCGCCACTTCACCCAGACGGGCTCGCTGACCCAAAAAAAACAGACCGGCCTTGTCTGGAGTTGCCTTGGGTCGCAAATCGAGCCAAGCCTCGACGCCGGACGCCCCGAGCTGGAACTTCTCGCTGAGTTGCTCCTGCTCTTCGGTGAAGTTGGTGAAGTCGTAGCTCGACAAATCCCACACAAAAGACTTCAGCGAAGGTTGGATGGGCGCCTGTTGGGCCTTCTGGAGCTCGTTGTATTTGTCCGAAAGCTCGGCGTATTGGTTTCCAAGGTTCTTGCACTTGCTGGCAAGACTCCCAAGAAGTGCACACAACTGGTAGGATGCATCGTCGTTGGTGCGGTCTAGGTAGTGGGCAGTGGCAATTGCTCCATGAGATTCATCCTCACTCCCATCTGCAGCAAAGGCTTCTGCAGCGGCAACAGCTACCCGAGCTCCATCTGCTCGTCGGTTGGCCTTTTCGAGCATCTTTGCAAGAAGCATGAGCTGCGAACCACGCAAACTCTTCAGACTTTCTTGCTCAAGGCTAAGTTTGGATAGAACCTCGGCGGGAATGTCCTCTTCCTTTTCCAGATGCAATTTCAGGAGCAACCCTTCCAAATGCTTGCCGTCATCAGTCATGCGCTGGCGCAGCATACATCGACCAAGCTGCTTTGACAGAGCGAAACGCACCTCTGCATCAGAATCATTCAACTCATGTGCTTTCATCAACAGTTCGAGCTTCTCCTCATCTTTGTCGTCATCCACAAGCGAGGCCAGCGCGGCAAAGATGGAAGCCGAACTTTTTGGTGGCCACTTCTCAAAGCTGGAAATGCCAAGGTCAGAGTCGAAAAAAATTCTTTGCATACGTGGCGGCAACCTCTTGGGTACTCAGGAAACCGCAAGCATGGCGGAGCAGTTTGACGTCAGGCCGTTCCAGTTGCACTGTCAACATGCGGCTGAAAGCTGCCAGCACCAAAGATGCTGCTTTCACCCAGGATTCTTGCGCATCTGTTGCCTGATGTTCGTGAAGGATATCCCACAGGTAATTCAAGCTCTTACCTTGCTCATCTGCAACTGTGGAGCTTGCGATTCTGCGAGCAAGCTCCTTGCAGACCAAGATCTTGTGGGGGCCTGTCACAGTCAAGGATTTGATCATACCCTCATCTAGTTGGCGAAGAAGCCACAGAACTTCTTTTTCGTCCATGTCTACCAACAACTCCTGAAGTTGCGAAGTGTCTCTAACCTCCAAAAGCATAGGCACCAGTTGTTGTTGACTTCGCTGCGATTCCCTTGCAGCTTACCTCGAAGGAGTAGCAAGGAAGAGAGCTTCCTCTTGGCAGCAACATCTGGCAAAAGTGGCCGCACAAACTGCTCACCTCTCAAAAGTAACTGAAGTACTTCGTCGCTCGGTAGTTTTGAGGCAACCGACAAAATCTCTTGCACGGTGTTCTCTTTGTATGCAATGATGGCCGACTTCACGCGCTGGCTCGGGTAAAGCACCTGAAGTCAATAAATACAGAAAGGCGTTCAATGCTGACTATTTAGGTACTCAATACTTTTGGTCACACAAAGAGATCTGGAAATAAACCAAAAAGTTGGGGAGAAGCTTGTGCTTCCGCTTCCTCCAAACCTGTTCTTTCTTCCAAGTATTCAGCAAAAGTTGTCCCAAGTCATCTTGGGTCACAGCTATATATAGTCCAACTAATCCTTTACCGATTGTCAGGTCCCTGAAAAGAGTCGAAAAACCGTGTTGATCTGTGGTGCCATCCCTTTACCATATCAATAAAACGAGCTTGAGTCTTGAGTGACTTTCCGGCCGTTGGCCTCGTGAAAAGAAGCTGAGTCCATTGGCAACTTAGTCAGCTAACACATAAACGCAGCATAGGGCACAAATGGTTCAACTGTGCCTGTAGCTACAGCATTCAGGCACACGGCTCAAAACTCAAAGCTGTGGCTATCAGTTGAAACGCACCTGCGCACCATCATTGCAAAAAGAATATGCTAATATCTACATGGCACAGTCGCGTGCATCGTCACCCCGGTTGTTGGACTTCGAGCGTCGGTGTTCCTTTCGAGCCAATCCATGATGCAGGACCTGTCGTAGTAGAACCCGTCGGCCGCGACCACCGGGTCCTCCATCAACCCATGAGATATGGGGCAGCAAAGGTCAGGTGGGTCCTCCATCAGTCGCTTCACCTCGGCTCACTGGCAAGGGGGTGAGGTGCGTGGCAATGACTACGCTGTCTCTCAAACGGCCAAAAGCACATACCCTGCCACACACCCTGCAATGGCACACGATCACTTTCTGAAATGCTGCAAGCAAGTTGCCAGGGAGGTCCGGCAATGTTCGGCTTGCACTTGACAGCCACTTTCACTGTCCTCTCTACAAATGGTTACAAGGCCACAGACAATTCAACCTAGCCAAGATGTGGTGGGGCTTTGAGGCTCAACAGTCGAAGCTAAAGCCTTCGCTCCGAAAACCCAACGGTAGACAAAAGCCCCCCATCTCAGGGGAAGAGAAAAAGGCACTTGCAATAAACATTCCTGGGTGTTCATCAACAATCTGCTGATTCTGCAAGAAACAGTTCGATTGACTTCCTCAAAGCGTCTGTCCTTCCCAGCGGAGGACTGCACCAACTCCAGAGTCTTCTCAATCTCCACGGCATCCACGTTCCACACCTCTGCGATGGCTTGGACGGACATACCTTTCTGACCTCGGCGTAAGTCCATGGTCCATCGTCTCATTCTGTGAAGAAACAAAGGGTGACCTTGCTCAAGAGAAGCGTATATAGAATATTCCGTGCAAGTTCCCGTCCATATTAGCAACAGAAGCAAAGAGATGTCAGAAAGAAAGGGGTGAAGATCACCTGCCTGCATGTCTGAAAGAAAAACATCCGTTTATGCTTTGGAAAACTGCAACAAGTACAGCGTACATTTTGAGTCCAGTCTTCTGTCCACGGAAATGTCGAAAGTCAAAAGTCCTTTAAACGCAACAGGCCAACTGTGCAAAATTTGGCGGCACCTGAACACCACTTACAAAAAGAAAAAAAAAAACAACAAATGACACAAGTGGCTGATAGTGTGCAATCTAGGAAAATGAACAAAGCCGCTTGCCTGTCAAAAGAAACCTCACAACCCCTCAACATCCATTCGTCAGCCATGGTAGACCTATGGTCTTCTCCCCAGCTTGATATGCGGAAAGCATGTCATCATCCCAAAAAAAAATCCGCATGATAGCTTAGGCCCGGTTGCTCATGCGGAGGATCTTCTCAGAGTCTTCTGCACTGATCCCCTGCGGCAAAAAGTAGTGGCATATGGGAGGTTTTATGTCAGTAGGGGCCTTGAAGTGGACGAAAGTGGAAGAGTCATAAATCAAATCAAAGGCAAAACTGCAAAACTTTGCAAAACCCTACACCTCCAGAATCTCCCTTAATCAAGCTCATAGACATGAAAGCCAGGTCCGATGAACCATGAACCATTCAGACCCACAAGACCTACAGCAAAAGTAGAACAGAAAGCCTTAAGCAGTGTCTTCAGCCCGGCCTTCTCCATCTTTGATCCACTCGCGATGGCCATCAGAGCGTTCCGGCTCCAGCTCAGAAGCTTCAGCAACGAAGCTTCCGAAGTCCAACAGGCTCCAAATGGCTGCAGCAACCAGAGGTCTGACCGAAACTGCCGACAAATATTGCTCCAACTTGAATTATGTAACCTAACAACGGTGTTCTGAGAAAAAAAAGTAACAAAAGTTGACTAGCCAAAGCGCACAAAAGCACCATAGCACTTGTCCACAGTGGCACCTCTGTGCTTTTGCACAAGCCATGGCCAGCCTGGCGCGTGAGGACATGAGGATGTGAGGAAAGATCGATTCGACGTATTTATTTCTTTTGAAGGCTGGAAACAGTTTGGATTTTGTGACCCTGCTTGACGCCGAGCCACTCCTGAGAAGGAACATGGGACTTTCATCCAACAAAAAGACTCCCTCCTAGCTTCTAGCATCTTCTATCAAGGTGAGGAAGAAAATGGTGGCTGGAAGCGCCTTCCATATTAGACACTCCCAAGGATCCAAAAACTCCGCGGTTCTGCAGCTCCACTTGAGGGACTGTGTCTTGGATGTCCAAAAGCATGCTGCTTGTTTAATCAACCCTCCGGCTTGGCCATTCTAGCCAGTTCCAAAATGGATCTGTTCCCAAAGAGATCTTGCTCTTTGCTCTTGTTGTTTTGATCCCAGTTGCGTGCAATGCTAGTTGTTGGGATTTGTCTGATTGACCAAACTGAGGGTACTGAGGGATGTAATGCGCAATCCACGAAAGGTACAGCATCTTGTTTCCACCATCAACCATGAAGCAGCTCTATCAATGAATTCAGTGAAGATTGCCACAGCCTTCCCCCACCCGGCCGGAATTTAGAAACTCGACTTCATTGAGTTGCTCCAGGAAACTGAGCTTCCATGCGCCAGAACTGTCGGAACACATGGCCAAAAGCCATTCACAAACAAAAAAAATCACACTTTGGACACTTTCCGCCCAAAACCGCCTCAAGGGTCTTTGCATGCGGTGCTTTGGCCCAAGGGTCTTTCCCCATCAGTTCACGGGACACACGGCGTGTCAAGAAAGTGAACATGTTGAGCATGTGCCTTTGCAGCGATGTGAATGTCATTTGTTCGATTGGGTCAATGAGTGTCTGCACATGGAATGCACATAAGTTGCGCAGTGCTAGGTGAGCATGCCACAGACCGTGCACAAGTCTCCAATCAACTGCAAGTTTCAGGAATGGCTGCAAGAGAAGGCTAGCGTGTAGTGAAGTGAAGTTAAGTCTGCTGAGCCACACAAAAGTAGCAATGCGACAGCTGTTGGCTCCACAAATGGCCAATCCGAACGTGCCAGAAGTGAGGCAGCAAATGAAACGACGACAGAAATGACATCGTTTTGAGACCAGCAACTGTCAAAAGGCACAAAAAAACGGTTGGTAACTCAGCACCCCCAGAAGGATGAAAAGTCGTCATTTGGCGTTGCACCATCTACCAGCAGCAAAGACCCTGACTGACGGCGGCGTTCAGCCTAGCCAGGTTCATCGAACTCAGGTAGCATTGCATTTTGACTCCTTCGGCCAACAGCGACGCAGAAGTCACAAGCGCGCAAGCGCCATCTACAGAAGTCACAAGCGCACAAGCGCCATCTACAGAAGTCACAAGCGCACAAGCGCCATCAGAAGTCACAAGCTCGGCACTGCCTGTCTCGGCGGCCGGAAAAAGCTTTCTGACTAGGTGGTCCAAGAAAAAAAATGTGGATTTCTGGAGAAATCGATCACTGTAGGAAAGCAATCTGGCGAAAGAACAAGAAGTAAAAGCTGAAAGAAGCGTTGACAGACCCGCACGATTGAGTTTGTTCTCTGGTGACCAGATTCGAAACACCAACCAGCTTATAGGGCAAGGTTGCAAAGCCACTCCATTGCCAGCCAGCAAAGATCATCAACACTCACACTCACTCACGCACTTACACACACCATTCCTATGGTCCGCAGCTTTGAGTCTTCAATTGTCAGCTTTCACAAGGTTGATCAGAACAAAGACAACACGAACTTGTATACTTGATTAAAAGGCTATTTTCCATACAAGTCCCTAGTCTTCCAGTCCGTTGCCAATCTACCTGACGAAATTCCCAAGACGGATTCCTTTGGCATCCCAACTACTAGCGAGGCACTTGTAATTACTAGCAAACAAAATCCCTAAAAACCTCTTCCACTACATTGAGATCTCCAGAAATCTGCACTGCGCAGCTGAGTCAATGTAATGTCCAGTTCCTTTTTACTGGATAACTCAGACGCTTGGACGCATAACCTTTTACCAGACCTGAAAGGGACAAGGGTTCTATGTTTGACCAACGATATGCCCGCTTGGTCGCCGGTCAACATGCGCCAACATTAGATGGGGAGAAGACGGAAAGAACAGGTCGGCCAAACAATCTCCATCGAGCGGTGCAAGTTCAGCCTGTGTACCAACATGCATGTGTTCTTTAAGACCACAGAAATTGTCCAAGAAAAACACTGAAAACAGTGGCGTTATTTTTACAAAAACCTTGGCGTTGTACCACATCGCAGTATCAAGACTTATCAGACTCTCGAAGCTGTCTGCATTGAGTTCTTTGCCAAGGCCATCTTCAAGTAGAGTGAAGTTCAATCTCCGTTTTGGGGGGGCTGATCCCAAGAAGCAAACACATGGAGAGCTAGAGTGCTAGAGCCAATCAAGCAGTTTCAGAATACTCGTACCAGCCGTCTGGTGGCTTTTCTTTGTGGTTTAGCACTTCAAGATACCCTTGTCCCAAGGTCTTCCCTGCAAAAATGGGAGTGTTCTTAAAAGAACGTCGACACGACCGGCATCCCTTCAGGAGGGTCGTCAAGCTCCTGGCCAACAAGCAAGTGCTCATCATCCTGGGCTCACAGAGATCTTCACAAAAAAAAGAGAACGTTTAACGGTTTAACGTAACAAAGCAAGCAAAGCCCTCCTCAGCACACAACGACTTTCCTCTCTGAGGAGAAGGTGCATTCATGATTCATGTTGTCTCCTGAAATGGAAAGGGCTTAGCGTGGTCCTTCGATGATTTTGTGTTTTACACGTCTGAACACTGACACAGAAAGCAAACCACCATGACTCAGCAATGGAGCTCCATTGCAGGATTACAAAGCAACCTGCAATTCTCTTGATCCAGCACTGAGGTTCTCTTGTGTATCGAGGCAACCTATTCCGGGATGTGAAAATAGAATGCAAGGAAAGTGTCCACATTGCCGTTCTCTCACTTTGCAAGAGTCAGACTTGGGGCGCTTTGAGGGCCATGTGAGAGGAGGCGCTTGGTTGGAGAAACATGACGCTAAAACCTTCTATCCCAAAGGATCCGTCCGATCGTGGTCAAACCTTGGCTCACAACAAAGCCCACACCATTCCTCCTCGACTTCTTTCGACGAGGTTCCAGTGTGGCACTGTGGTGCCCTTCGTCTTCTTGACGAGGTTCCAGTGCACCTCGTTGGGGAAGAGTGCGCGAACGAACAAAGACAGAGTTGTGAATGGTCATGGGGCCTATTCAGAAAAGACTTGAGCATACTTGAGCGCTAGCCATGGGCCTATAGGTTCTCTGTAGTCAATGCAGTGGTCCTATGGGTTCTCAGAGCAAGCAGACTCAGAACTACAGCGAACTGCCACGTGAAGAGATGAAGGAGTCGATGGCTTGTCTTCGACGAATGTTCTCCCGCTCGCTGGAGAAACGCCAACAGGACACGTGGAGATATCGTGAGATGGCGCAAGCAGGTGAAGTAAGGTGAAGTGCGGAGCAGAGCAGAGGTCTCAAATGAATGTGGTTGAATGAGAAAAGCTTGATTAGCGAGCCGACTTGCTAAAGTAACTGCAGTACTTCAAGGGAGCCTTTTCCTGTTCATTTTTATTTTCTTTTCTTGTCTGTTCTTTTTCTTTTCTTGTCTTGTCTGTTCTTTTTCTTTTCTTTTCTATGTTTATTGTCGTGTCTTCTCGTTTCTGTGTTCTCTTCCTTCTTCTTTCTTGTTTTTCTTTAGACCGCTCTTCCTTTTTCTGCATTCCATTTTAGAATATAGACCTTCTTGGATTGCCTCTTTTGATGATTTCCCAATCTCCATTCTCTGCCTGTTCTCACGTGTGATTCCTTTTGGGGTGGCTGCATCAGCCAGACATGGGACAATCTGTTCCTCCATCCTCTTCCCCATCTATACCTTTTCTTGTTCTGTCCCACGGCACGCCATTGGGCACCAAAAATGCCTTTGCACATGAACTGCCATGCAGCACACCTGAACCAATTTTCATACCCTCCTCTCTTGCTCTTTGTTTACGGGCTACTCCTTGAATCCAGGTCAGTTGCGGTAGGCCTTTTCTTGTCGTCTCCCTTTTGTGTGCAGGTCTGTCGTCAGGGGTGGTAGGTGTCCTTGTCTTCCCGCCGCTCACATCGCGTGTTGTCTTTCCTTTCTTTGGCTCCCTCTCTCGACTCTCTGTCTTTCTTGGCCTGGACTACAACACAGGTCTTTCCATACCTTCGCGTGCTTTCCATACCTTGTTGCCAACACCGCTCCTCTCACCTAAACAGATGCCTCTTGGATCCGAGTCTGCTTCTCAGTACACCGGGTGCCTCTTGGTTCGAAGGGCGGGTTCTCCGGCCTTTAAAGGTCTTGTCCTGTCTTCTTCGTCTCTGGGTTTGTCCACTTGCATAAAAATTTAAGGGTTTGTCCACTTGACTGACTAGAAAATCCAGTTATTCGTCCACTTGTACTAGAAAACGGCTTGGTCACTCACAGGTTATATGTTTTCATGTTGGCCTTCGTGGGCTCGGAAATCTTCTTTCATTTTGGGATGTTGGGTTCCCCCGTTTCGGGTTTTAGTGTTAATGTGTCGGTTTTGTTTGCTTTCATCTCTCTTGCAACCGAGCAAAATGGTAAAAAAATGTTCAAAAAGCCTAGTTTTGCCCCCTCCTTGATGTTGTCATGCTTGAAGGGCAACACTCCATGATAGAATCCCAAACCAACATCCCAACATCCTGGTAATCCTCACAGCTCTACACCGTTGT